AAAATAAGAGAAAAAAGTAAAAAGTTTCAAAGAAGTTTATATAAAATGCAAAATAGTTTAATAAAGTCTTTCGAAGTTATTTTTAATAAAAGTTAAGGGAGTAATTTAATCTCCATAACATGAAGGTTAACTTACGCAGATTGCAATGCTATATCGTCAGGTTAGAATTATTTTGTTCTATCTGTTTTGAGATAAAACGATTTAAAAAAAAAATCTTTAGGAGACGACATATAAAAAGATTTTAATTAGTTATGCTTTCGCCGAAACTTTTTTGATTTTAACTTAGCCTAAGTTAAATTTTAAGTTTTTTTTGAAAGATTCCTCGTTTAAACGAAAGATTAAATATATGCAAAAGAACTTATTGAATATAGAAAATACATTTAATTATAACATTACTACTAACATTATAAAGTCGATGTGCTTTGTTTGATTTTAATTAATGCACAGCATCTAATAACTCTTTTTCAGTTAACTCAGCATTTTCCATTATTTGCGAGGAGCCACGTATATCTCCTTGTTAGACTCACTGTGTTTTTATTTTGATGCTAAATTTAAACCTGCATTGACAAACTCTTCGTTAAAAGTTTTAACCATTATAGATTCTTTTGTAATATCTTGATGATAAAAATTTAGTTTTTTTGGAAAACCATTTAGCTTAAGTGTTTTTTTCCAATTATTTCTTTAATGAATTGCCACATTTGTTGAGTGTCGCCTTTCAGTTTTATAATTTTATTCGATTAGTATAATTTCTTTTAAAGTTTAATAATTGATTCAAAGTGACCTTTTTTTTTTTATACCTTAATTCATTTTCATATATATTTTTTTATATTCATTAATTATTATTTGATTAATTGAGGTTTCCTAGTAATTTGAGGAATCATAGGCAACTGCCACATTTTTATTTGTGTCGTAATGAAGCTCATTATAATTAAAATCCCCCACAAAAAGACACATTTGCCAAAATTTTGTTTTTAATTAAATTTTTAAAATGTTTTTCAAAAAGTTTGTTATTGCCAAATGGTGGTCTGTACACAACATGTACAATGATGCTTTAAGTGATTTTATTTATAGCCTCGATCGTTAATGATTTGCAATCATTACTAATTACAAAAAATTCGATTAGCGGTTTAAAATTTAAAGAGTTGTAGGTAAAAATATATACTGCTCCACCTATTGTTTTAGAATTTCTGACTTGATGAATAACTTTATAGTTTTGTAGTTAAAAATTTGAATCTTTTTCAATTTGGTTATCCCGACACCAGGTCTCTGTGAGACAAATAAATTTAAAATTAATTTCAACATTATATAAAAAATCTTTAAATTTATTAAAATTTTTTTGAAAGCTTCAAATATTTAACTGTAAAATAGAGAACTCATTAATATCTATATCAGCAGAAAGATTAGAAATATCAGAATTATAATAAAAAGGGCATATGCTGCTAATTATTTCATCAATGTTAAAAAAATGAACCTTTGGATCTGATTGATGAAAGTATATTTTTATTTGTCTGGAAATCCTTGGAGCTTAATTTATGAAAATTCATATCTTCCATAACAAAAAGAAAGGTTATACTAACAAAATGTTTAAAGTATAAAATAGTTAAAGTTTAGTAGGTAATTTCCTGAATTATTTTACTATTTATCGTAAATTAAAACCAAAAACCATTTTTCCTATGTATCTTCATTTGCTCGAGTAGTTTTTTATGGGAATATATACCAATGAGTTATCTTCATTGATATATATTCCCAATCCTTTCAGTTTACTCGCACTTTTACTTTATCTTTGTGATTTAACAGTTTCATTACTATTGGCCTTGGTCTACCTGCTTCAATTTTTCCTGACCTGTGCGCTCGTTTAATTACAATTCCTTTTGAATTAAGTTTTTCTTCAAAAATATTTAATACCTTCAGTTCGGTGTCATCCCAATTTTCCTTTTCGTTTTCCGATAAACCCTCTAAAAGAAGATTATTCCTGCTTTGTCTTCAAGCTATCTTCAAGCTATCTTTGTCTTCTGTCTATCTTCAAGCTGCCTTAGTTTATTTTCTTCCATATATCTGCTTCCTGATTTTGATGAGATTTTTTTTTCTTGCAAGTTTTGTGTAAAGTTCAAACTTTCTTCTATATCTTTTTGCGCAATTTCATTTTTGTTTAATCTTATAACGTAATTTTTTTTGTTTCTCTTTAATTAATATGTTTTCTTTTTGGAGTGTCGCACACAAATTTTTTACTGCAGGATTTATTTTCTTATAATTATCATGCTTGCAAAAACACATCAAAACACATCATACTTTGAATATAATAATGTTTTGAGTTTTAAAAGACGAATTTTCGAAAAAATAAACATTCTATGTAATATTAATTAATACCCGACATAAAATATGAGATATAAAATAAATTTGTTATTTAAAATATCATGTCTCTCATAAAAATCTTATTTGTCATAAAACTCAGTAGAACATAACATACAATATCGATTTGTATATTAGAACATCATGGGGAAAAGGCGCCTATGATGGCATACTCAACTTTGAAGCTTCATTATTCAGTATCCTGAAAACCAAGAACAAAAGTTTTGATATGGACACTTTGTTACATATAGAACAATAATAACTTAAGAAGTTTTCATCAGTTTTATTTTTTTTATTAGTTATTTTTATTTAAGGGGCAACTAGTCTCATACTTTTTCAAAAATTTGATTTTTTTAAAATAATTTTAGACTAAAATTTTATGCAGATTTTGAATCTGCAAAAAAAATTGAACACTTTTTTATAAGTTTTTGCTTAATTTATGTTTTTTTGAACTCAAATGAAAAATATTTGCATAGCAACGCGTTGCTATGGGGCGAATATTTTTCTTACTCCAGGACAGTACTTCAGGATAAGTTTGAGAAACAGTACTCCAGGATAAGTTTGAGAACTTATCCTGGAGTACTGTTTCAAATATATGCTTTGATTTATATCTTCTTTGCTAATTAATATTCTGTTCCTTATTATATTCAAACATATTCAAGCACTGATTTGGGTGTACATATTCAAACACTGATTTGGGTGTTATTTTGAACAAAAAAATTAATGATTGAGTAAAGCAGAGAAAAAATTATCACAAAAAAAAAAAGAGGATTTAAGGTAAAGAAAAATGCATGTAATGTAACTTACATTTACTTACGTTGTAAGTAAATGTGACTCTAATGACAGAAATAGTTTAGGCGCATCAGCTAAAAAAAATAAAATTTATTACAAATGTACCAAGTAAAAACACAAAAAAATTACTGGTTACAGAATTATAGACACTAAAATTTTATCTAAAGTTCTTTCATTGTTATTGTGTCCTAAAAGTGAAAAGTGTGCACTGTACCTAGATGATCATCAGAGAAAAAAGAAAGGTCTAGCAACGTTGCTATATTTAAAGTGTACTACACTACCTTGTGACTATAAACATGAATTTTATATATCAGTTGCTTGTAATAAAGGGTTTGATATTAAAAACAGGACAATATATGCAATGAGAGTCTTAGGCCATGGTCATACTGGGATTGAAAAATTTACTCAGCTCATGAATATGCCAAAACCCATGACATCCAAAAACTATACAAAATTTACAACAAAAATAAAAAACATCGTGAAAAGTATTGCAAACGGAACCATGTCAGATGCTGCAACTGAAATGAAAAAAAATGCAACTAGTGAGGATATCGTTGCTGCTGGTGTATCTTGCGATGGATCTTGGCAGAAAAGAGGATATCAGTCAATGAAGAGAGTTTTTAACGCAATTTTAATAAGTAGTGGAAAAATAATCAAAGTTGAACCTATGAATAAATCATAGGTTCAACTTTGATTATTAATCATACACTCAATTTCTTGGTGATGGGGATAGTAAATCCCATCCTTCTATCAAAGATATATACCCAACATGGAGGTAAAAAAGTTAGAGTGAGTAGGACATTACCAAAAACGATTTCGGTACTCGCTTACGCAAGTTTAAAAAAAATGTTAAGGGTCTAGGTGGTCGTGGTCGACAAACCAATGCAGTTGTTGATTGCTTGCAAAAGATTTTTGGTGTAGCTATCCGGAGCAATACAAATGATCTGAATAAAATGAAAAAAGCAGTATTAGCTAGCCTTTTCCATGTAGCTTCTTCTAAGGAAAATAACTATCATATTTACTGCCCAACTGGAGGTGATAGTTGGTGCAAATTCAAGCAGAAACATAAATTATATTTAATTTAAAAGAAGTACAATCTAATCTAAATAAAATATATCAAATTACACTATATTTAATTTAAATTAAAAAATTGACGAAAAAAAGTTTTTTTTTAATATCATAACCGTAGTGGTCATTAAAATGTCTTGGTTTGCATTTTACCCACTACCTCATGAAAATTTCATTTCTCAGTTATAATAAATTCACAATCACAAATATTTTAAGGGATCAAAATTACATCCCAAAATCGATTTTTGTTGATTATAAAAGCAATAACTGTGCATGGACAGGGGCGTATTGTACAGGGACGTATTTTTATAAAAACTATTGCCGTTACCAATATTTATGAAAATATGACCGGTATGCCATCATAGACGTCTTCCCCCTACCCTGTGTATAAGAACCTTATCCGATATAGAAATTTGGTAAAATATAGCATATAAAAGCGATTTACTACTTAGAAATCATACCGCTTTCTCCCACTTCATGTATATTATGTCGGATAAATTCGTATTCGACATAAAACTTTGTAAAAGAAAGCACATAAAAACAATTTGTTACTCAGAATATCATATTATGTTTAAATCCTGTCATACATATACCTACTATAAACATTGTTTGTATTTGTTTATTTCGGACGGCTTAGGTGAACCTTTAAATACTTAAATCGCGTTTAATTCTCTTATAGGAAATATGATATATTAGGATGATACGATATGTTATTACAATTCACGCGAACCGATTAAAAATAAAATAGAAGCAACAACAAAATCATAAGGCGAAGCAACCCAAAATTGATTAATATAAAATATTCTTTTAATTGTAAAATTGATTAAAAAATATATGTTCTCTTGCTTTCATAGCTTTGAGTTACTAAACTTGATATTAGAAAATATATTTTATGACGTCACTACGTTACTTAAGCGTGTACAAAATAATTTATTTTATTTTTTATTTAATATAGAGTTTTAAATTCGATTCTTATAATTCAGCTCAAAAGGGTCTTCTACAGTGTTGTAAATTTGATTTTCATCTTTCAATCTAAAGTTGAATAACTTTTTGCATTAATTTCCTGATATCGCTGTGCAAATAATTTTTATTGCGCAACATAAGTATCGTTACTTAATAGCGAAATGTATCGATAATAGCGAAATGCATCGATAATAACTTGAAAAACTTTTGATTCTATTCAAATGATGCAATTCGCTGTCACAAATCTTATTATCACTGAATTATGCACTTCTTTTGACCCAATCATAAGACAACAGCTGCAATGCATTTGGTCGTATTTTCGGGTCACTATAACAAAAATAAAATACATTTCCTGTTCCTAAAAAAACGTTTAATAAAAATTTAGCATTAAAAAAAAGCAATTTTTTAATGCGAATTAAACAAACATTTATGAGAACTTTTTAAAAAAAGTTTAAAAAAATAAAAAAACTAAAAAATTTTGTTTTCTGATTACCGTTGAAAACAATCATTCACAAATGTTATGCATGAATTAGATGAGTTATCAGGCAGATGGGGTATGGTTGGACTAGAAACAATTTGGAACATAGCTGGCGTAGGATCTAAATGAGACCATGGCGGCTTTGTTGTTAGCATTTCAAGCACAGTACATCCGAATGACCTGTTTATAAAATATACTATATTGGTTATTGTTATAATCAATGTAATTATTAAGCATAAAATAATGTTATTAAATAATTTAAGTAAAAAATTTAAATGTTAAATGTTAAATTTATGTTTAACTAACAAATTTAAATGTTAAACCAGAGTTTATTGCAAGTAAAAAAAATCATTTATTATATTACACATATAAATTAGATAGGTACAAAGATAAAACAATAAAATTTGCTATTGTTATTTGTGCAACTTAGGTTACTAACACAAACACTTATACTTATCCATTGCCAATCTAATTTAAAACTCGAGATCAATAATGTCAAAAATTTCAGTCTATGTTCTACTTTGCCTACAGTAAAATACGTTTTATGTTCTTTTCTCTAAAAAAGATTAAAGAAATTTTTATTAATTAAGAAGCCTTTAGCTATAATGTAATGAGATATAAGAACCGCACCACTTGTTGTGTCGAATTTGTTAATTTCGCCTGCCTACTTTTAAGTCTAACATGAGGATAATAATTAACACTTTAAATTGTTATATTATATTTTACTTTATTGAAAAAACATTCATGGTGAGTTAATAACTGATCGCATATATTTTATGCACAAAATTTTTTTGCACATTAAAAGTCTTTATAACCATGACTTTTATGAAAATTTAATGAATACACGCAAAATTAAAAACATATTACACATACCATGTTAATACTCGCCCCAAAATGAAAAAATTTGTAAATTTTACATTGTTATAACTTTCAAACACTAAAAAATTATTAAATGAAATTTAAAAAATGTCAAAAATTTGAACTTGGTAAAAGAAAGTAAAATAATAATATTTTATTAACTCTTTTAATTAACTTATTTTTTTACTATATTTATATATACTATATTTATATATATATTACATTTATATATATTATATTTATATATACTATATTAGTGTGTTTATCTCTTATTATTAACTTATTATTAATTAAAATAATAATATTTTATCAACCATTACAGTATGAATGAAGTAAGAAGAGGTAGTGGAGGAGGGGGAGGGGGTTGGAAGTGGGAGGAGGTGAAAAGGAAGATGAAATAACAAAAATATATTTTACAAGAATTCAAAGAAACTATTGCTTTTACAGCTAGAATTAGGGGTGAGCAAAAACGGATATCCGGTTCGGTTTGTTGAAATCCGAATCCGATACCGAATTTTCGGATAGCTAAAAATCTGAGCCGATTCCGGTTCCGATTTTATCGGATATCCGCTGGATATCCGGATGTGAGAATAAAAGTAGTGGTGGGAATTTTAGTCATATCTATAAAACGAGGAGGGAGGTGTGTTTTACCAAAAGTGTTGGTGGAAATTTTTTGTTAAATTTAATTTTAATTTATAGACTGACTTAAGCTAGGGATGGGAGGGAATTTTTCTGAAAATCAATAAACGTCCTCTACCGTTAATTAGGCACGCAAGAGTACACAGTTAGCAATTTAACTCACAGAACTGCAAAAATAACATTTAAGTATTAACAGCCTGAGTGTACAAAAAAAACATTTGTTTAAGCGAGTTCATCACACCTCATGTGCAAAAACTTTCCATCTAAAACGCTATACTCCCAGTGATTAAACCGTCGTTTTAGATAATCAAGAGCAACTTCATTAGAACTTGCATTATCTACTGTCACAGTCAAAATGTTTTTAATTTCCCATTCATTTAGACACTTTTTAACTGCTCTACCAATAAGCTGTCCAGAATGACCCGCAATTGGGCAAAAATTTATCACTCTTTTACACAAATTCCAATTATCATCTATAAAATGAGCAGTGAGACACATATAACTCAGATTTTGACCAGAAGTCCAAGCATCAGTTGTTAAGCAGATTCTAGAAGACAACGTCTTAAAATAATTCATTAACTTCTTCTTTTCCTCTATAAAAATAGTGTAACAATCTTTTGCAGCAGTGAAACATGAAGGAATTATAAATTCGAGATGCATGGACTTACAAAATAAGCGAAAACCATCTGCATATTTAGAAGTCTCTTGATTGAATATCCACGGTTTCAAGATACTAAAAGTCTCAGTAGATCCGTCTTTATTGCTTAAGTTTAGGGATTCGAAGGTCAAGATTCTTTGCTTTTATCTAAATTAGCAGGGAACAACTTGCACCTCTCTGTATGATTAGCTAAACATGTGGTCTCGTTATTAGAACTACAATCGATTAATCTGACAATAAACACACATAGCCAAATGTTGATCATCTATTTTTTCATAATGATCCCACCATGGAGAAGCATTTTTTCTTTTATGAGAAGAACTTTTACCTGCTTTGGAAGCTTTTGGTGTTTTTTCGTTCCGACCAGATAAGTTTTTGGAAATCTTCCTACTATTTGTCAAAATTTCGTCTTTAGCCTGCTTATGTTGTTGGTGGCTTGGCTGTTGATTAGATTCGTCCATATCTAATAAATTCACTACATCAATGAAACTTTAAAGATTCTTAGCCTGCGTAAAAAGTAAAAACATAAATAAAATTTTGATTCATATAAATATAATATTTTGAAATTGAAGAATGCACAGAATCTGAATAACACATGTAATGCAGAAAGTATAAAAAGGAATTTTCAAATATAACGTGTTAAACTCGAGATGATTCTATATTACAAACTTGCGAATTTATGTATAAATTGCTAATTGTAATGTTTCATGTTCTTTTTTTGTTTTTCAACTACAATTGAGTTTAGCACTATGGCTTATATAAAATTTGCTCGTTAGTTATTAGTCTCTTGGGGAATGCTTTTAGGCTTAAAGAATGACACAAGAAATAATTGCTAGCAATTGTTTTTCGTGTAATTCTCCAAAGGGAATTACTAATTCCGCAATCTCTAACTGATAGTTAGAAAATAATGTTTAAAGGGAATTGTTTGCATAACAATTATTACACTAATATCGGTTCAAAGTTTTTGACTATGAAAATCAAATTCAATGGATAAAAAACATATTAGTATACATCGTACTTACCTTCGGTTTAAAGTTCTTGAGCGAATGAATAGTTTAAAAAAATAGTTTTTAATAGTTTTAAAAAACTTTGAGTCAGAAAATAACAAGACTGTTAATAAAAGATAAAAATGTTTTGTTTGTATTTTTCTCTAAGCAAATTCATTAAAAATTATGTACTAGTTATAACGCAATAAATTAAGAATCAGTCCATTAAATGCGCAATTTTTGCGTAGGTGGCAGTGTAATCATTTATATTCACAATTCTATTTATTTCATCATACTTAAAAATCTCCATGTAATTAATAGAGATTTTGAGTCGTTAAGCGTTGGTATTATAGGTTATTTTTTATATATGTGCAATAAACCGGATAGGATCAGGATATCTGATTTAATAACAGTTCATAACCCGAATCCGTTTCAGAATATTAAAAGAAAAACGGATCGGATAACCGGTCTTTGTCCGGTTCGGATATTTAAATTTTCGGATTTTTTAAAAAGGATATCGGACTGGAAATTCGGATATCCAATTTTTTTGATATTTTTGCTCACCCCTAGCTAGAACTCAAAAATGAGGTAGGGAGTGGGAAATGGGATTTATAACTTGAACAAATTCATAGGAACCATATAAATTATAATTTACATTAAAAATAATTGGAATCAGGTCATGCTAGACAGGGATAAGTCACAAAAATTGAAAACTGATTTAATAATAGTTTTGATGTTTCAAGAATAGGTTTCAACTATTTATGATAAAATTAGACATGTCAGACACTTGGTTACTACAGTAACTAATTGGAAGAGAAACACTATAAAAGTTGCTAGAACAAAAGATGAAGAATTTGTAGTGCTAAAGAAATTCTGTACTTCAAAAGTACTTTGGATTGCTCTGAAGGTGAGTTATTTTGTATTTTATGGTACGAATAGCTTTACAATCTATTTTCACAGATAAGATATGTATGTATACAGATAATATGCAGTGTAAAAGTATTTTTTGTTTTTTTAGCTGCAAGAGGAACAACTGTCTTGAGACAATTAACGAAGATGATAAAATAAATATATTAAACCATTTAAACACCTACAACACTAAAGAGGAGCAGGATTTGTTCATAAAATCATTAATTTCGAAGAAATAAAGCAGATACAACCCAGGAAGGAAAAGAATTGCTTAACCATAAAACCACTCTATCAAAACCCACCATAATGTGATACTTAAAGCTACCTTTAAGTATCACATTATGGTGGGTTTTGATAGAGTGCATGTAAGTTTTAAAGTTTTTTTAAGTTTACATATTATTGCAAAAAAACAAATTAAAAAGATTGGGAACTTTGAAAATGATTGGGAAAAGCCCGGTGGATAATATAGGACATCAAATAAAAGAAAAAGCATTGCCTCAAGAAATCAAACTTTTTATAAGACAGCATATTGAAAGCTTTCTAACTAAAGAAAAACTTGGTAAACCAATATGCTATATAGATGTCACTTTAAATGTTAAAACTATGTATAGGCTGTTTAAAGAAAAATACTTTTCAATAAAAAGTTGGCAAAATGAAGTTTTTCCACTGTGGAAGGCCGAAAATTATATGGTAGATATAGATATGGTAGAAAAGACATGGTACACTTGCAAAGAACTAAATTTAAAATTATGAAGTCCTTGTCTCAATAAGGCAGCAAAAAGATAAACTAAATCTGAAATTAATGTACATAAATGAAAATCAAAAAGGTTTTATCATTGAATTCGAAAATACGCCGATGACAAGAACAATAGTCAAATTTCATCGTGTTTTGACATGCAGAACATAAAGATACAAAAAAAAACAACAAGAAACCTTCTATATGAGGCAAATTTAAGTAAATTTTTTATATGTTTTCATAACAATAAAAGTAACAAAGCAAAAATTTTTGTTTACCACCAAGGCAAAGCAGGCAAGGGTTTAGATGTAGTTGATCCTTTCTGTTCAAATTTTTAGTCAAGGTAGAGAAGCAGTTTACCAAACTTCACTTATTCTCAGAGAATTGTTGGGAC